TATATATATATATATATCTATGTATCTATCTAAATCTATCTATCTATCTATCTATCTATCCACATATATATATATATATATATATATATATATATATATATATATGTGTGTGTGTGTGTGTGTGTGTGTGTGTGTGTGTGTGTGTGTGTGTGTGTGAGAGAGAGAGAGAGAGAGAGAGAGAGACAGAGGGGGCCCTCGTGGCCTAGAGGTTAAGGTGTTGGCCTCTCATTCAAAGGTCCCGGGTTCGAATCCGGGTAGCGACCGAAATATTTTCTTCTCTAAAATTGTCTCCTTTCACCTCCTTTCCTGCTCTCTAGCAATGTTCTGTTGTCTGCTTTCATTTCCACTTTCTGCCCCCACCCCCTCACCTCCTTTGCCCCCTCCTCTGGGCTCCTGACTCTTTCTGTAGCCTTTCTACTGCTACTACTTGGCTCCTCCTTACTGCTGTCTTTCTGCCACACCCCTGATCTACACAAAGAGAGAGAGAGAGAGAGAGAGAGAGAGAGAGAGAGAGAGAGAGAGAGAGAGAGAGAGAGAGAGAGAGAGAGAAAGAGAGAGGGGTGGGGCAGACAGACAAAGACAGAAACAGAGTGATAAAGAGAAAGAAAGAGAAAGAGATACATGACCATAAGTAGACACTTTATCTCTTACTCAGCTCTCCCCTGTCTCCTTTTTTTCAGGCATGGAGCTGGTAGGCCCATCCAAGAGGAAGTACGCTGGTATTGTCATCGAGATTTTCTGGTGTATTGGGCTTTTCATCCAGAATGGCGTGGCCTACGGACTCCGAGACTGGCGATACCTGCAGGCAGCTCTGTCCGCCCCAACCGTCCTTTTCCTGTCTTACTGGTGGTCAGTCATTGCTTAAGATCTAAAGTTGTTGTTTTTTGTTGATACTGTTTTTGTTGCTGTTGTTGTTGTTGGTGGTGGTGGTATCCGAATTTTTTGGATCAAAAGCTTGCAATTCATTACAATAATTTCGGTTTCTTTATCTGTCTGTTATGTTGTTTGTCTGTCTGTCTGTCTGTCTGTCTGTCTGTCTGTCTGTCTGTCTGTCTGTCTGTCTGTCTGTCTGTCTGTTTGTTTATCTATCTATCTATCTATCTATCTATCTATCTATCTATCTATCTATCTATCTATCTATCTATCTATCTATCTATCTATCTATCTATCTATCTATCTATCTATCTATCTATCTATCTATCTATCTATCTATCTATCTATCTTGCACGAGCTCTGTCCCCATTTTGCTTCATCATTTTGCATTAATAGTAAAATGGTGTTGTTTGTGCTGCGTGCAATAATCTACCACTATTAGCCTTACCTACGTTTTTTCAATGACTACAAGAAAACGTAAACGCATAAAATAAATAATAAAACCGTTAATGAATTAACAAATGAGTAAACGAATTAAAGATGAGGTCAGAAGGAAATATAAAAAATAAAGAAACATAATTATACAAATAAAGAAACAAAGACTGATCAAAAGATAAAAATAAATTCAGTTTTCACTGTTTGCGCGAATAAGATACAACTAACATGAAAAGAACCAAAACGAAACCCCCCCCCCCCCCTTTCCCCAATTTAAATAAAATGAACTCCCCCAAAAAACAAGAAACAAAACAACAACCTACAAATAGAAATCTCTGCCCTCAGGCTGCTACCAGAGTCCCCTCGCTGGCTGATCAACAAGGGCAAGCTGAAAGAAGCCGAGATTGTGATCAAGAAAGCTGCGAAAGGAAACGGCGTGGAGCTCAGCAAGAAGGCCCTACGACTGGACGAGCTGGAAGTGGAAGGAGAAGGGGAGAGAATCTGGCACATGTTCACCACCCCGGTGCTTTTGATTAGGTCCCTTGTCATCTTTTTCAACTGGTACGTTTTCTCAATAGTCATGTTAATAATATGTTTCTGTTGTTTTTGTGTGGTGGTGGTGTGTGTGTGTTAGAGGGGAGGGGGGATTTGGTTGTTCGTTTGGTTTGGTTTGTAGGGGGAGATTCATGCCGTTTTGATTTTCTTTTTTTTAGTATTTTTTTTTTAGGGGGTGTCACCATAGTGGATTATTTTTTTGCTTTGGATTGCGGCTTTTATCTTGTTGTCAGGGCTGTCTGTTGTTGTTGCTATTATTGTTTTAGCAGGAGGGGGTGGGTGGGTGGAGGGAGTTCTATGTTTATTTAAAACTGACATTGCCATTGACGGGGTTTCAAACCAAAAGACCCATTCAAGAGTATGTTTCCTATGGGGTTTTGGAAAGACAAAAGTCTACG